TCCCCCATTTTCTTAAGGAGAAAGATATTATATGAATCTTAAGCTAAGGACATTTTCCAGGCCTCAATAACTATAAGGGTTGGAGTGACTTTGTGTCTGGGCATCAATGGTCTCACATCTAGATATATCATGTACCTGCACACTTGATGTCTAATTTATTGCCCTGGATTGGGTCTGTTTTTCTCCCCTGGGAAAGTAGAAGTCCTTAAAGAAAGGTCTGGTGTGCAGAAGTCATCTTAAGAATCCTCCTGGTTTATTCAAAGAGTTTCTATTACTTTTCACAGTTTAAGGGCATCCCTTCTTTTCTTCACTCAGAAACCACTTCCCCTTCTACGGCCTTCTTTGCAAGGCCTCTGAATGATACCATGTTTATTTTTGAGTCATTGGTTTGGTGTTGGACTCAGTCTGTATTTGGGTTCTGCCTGCTTTGGACTGGGAATTTGATTTATTTGGCCCTGTTTCAAAAATTGTCAACACCCCATGCATTTAGGTAGTGATTATGTCTATAAAAATATGAAATAATAACCACAACTTTATGAGATGAAAACAGCTTTTTAACCACACTCCTCAGTGGACAACAGCAACTGTAACATGTAAGAGACAATCAGTATTAACGGTTTTCATTATGTCTGTGCTGCTTTAGCTGAAACTTACATAATGAGAGTGGAAGCATCTTGTGTCTTTGTGTTTTGAGGCACTGCAAACACAACAAACACTCCAAATAGAAATAAAATGGATGTACATTTTGCTCTGCTTAAATATAAGACTCAAGCTATGCAGCACTTGAAAGTATTACTCATCATGTTTTTTTGTTTTGTTTTGATTTTTGATTTTCCCCTCTTCTATACTTGACCAGTAACTGGGGAATTAGGAGAAGAGAATACTAAGGTTTTGGTTTCTCTAAAAAGAAAAGAACTTTAACCATCCTAAAATCCAGAGCTGCATTGGTTTCTGGGAACTGCCATCTCAAATTCCGAGGACTCACTGGATAAAGCAAGGGTGGCATGCCTGATTACACAAACAAATTGGGTGTGTGGGACAGTCATTCAAGAGTAATGTGGTCACACTCAGTGAGATCTGCTTATGAGGTTAGGTAGTTAGTGGCTTAAAGAGGCCACAAATCTAAGTCTCAAACATCACTGCTGTATTATATACTTAAATCTCTCCTGTCTATAATAAAGTGGGACATGGGAGTAAGTTTTTCTGAAAACTATTTTTTAAATGTGATTGTTTTCTGTTAATAAAGTTAAATATCTTTCATTAAATGCTTGCTAGAATAGCCATGTATCTTATGTCATCACTTGACAAAAGAAAAGAAAAAAAATAGAGAATTCCAGTGTGAGTTCACTGTTTCTTCAGTCCTGGTTCTAATCTGCTGGAGTGGTTTTCCCTCCAAGGAAAACAACAAAGCTGGACTAGGCTAGTGTGTCTGCTCAGCATCATCAGGCTCACAAATGAATATACAGTGTTAAAACACAGATACTTGGGTCTACATGGCCCTCCTTTGAATCATAATTTTAAGGTAGGGCTTAGAATTGGTATTTGTAACCCTGTAAGTGATTCTTACACAAGTGAAAATGTAAAAGGTACACCATAGGACCAAATGCTTCTCTCAGTTCCCTTTCTGTCCTTCAGTCCTTTGATCTCATTGATGTTTCATGGAACATATGAGCTCTCTTTCCTTGAATGGATGGAGACAGTTCAAGGATATTTTGCCATCTCTCTCTCTCTCTCTCTCTCTCTCTCTCTCTCTCTCTCTCTCTCTCTCTGTGTGTGTGTGTGTGTGTGTGTGTGTGTGTGTGTGTGTCTTGTCTTTTGGAGATAAAACACTTTGGAGCCCCAGCTCTTTTCAGTTGGCAGCATTGCCTATATCAAGCAGATAAATTAAAACAATGGCCTTGGGAGAACTTTATAAGGTTGGACAACACAGATGTCTTTGCACTATGCTCCCTCATGGTCGCTTTCAGATCCATTGTCCTTTCTTTCTCTCTGCGGGAGAAGGGCCAGCTTGTACCAAGTTTCATGAAGCCAAGTGACTCAGCTCTTTGCAAGGCTTCCGTTCAAGGAGAACTCACTTCTTCCTTGACTCCTGCAGACTAAACATTCGAATTACAAGCCACATGAAACCATTTGGTAGAGATCGCAGTGAGGGAAAGTCAGTTCACGATCTGACACCTCATAAAGCCTTATTTTAGAATTTGTGGGGTTTGGTGTATATAATTTATTCCTTTGGTCTTAGGAAAGCACCTGGATGTGGATTTTTCTCTTTCTGGCTGACAAAACAAAATAGGGTCCAATTAATTTCTCCCCTTTAAAGACTTTATGATCTTTGCCTCTTTAAAAAAAAACTGGGTGAGTTAGGATCGTTACAAACATAAAGCCACAGGAGGAGCCCGGTCACTTGAGTTTCCCTTCTCCAACATTTACAGGGGTTGTTCTCAAACAAGGATTGTCATTTGACAAACAGTGAAGTCAATTTTGTTCCTTAGGACTGAGGCAGTGCTACTGGTACTGCTGTGGATGCTTCCTGTGGAGTGTGCTCCGGCCCTTTTTACAGTAGTTAATATTGTAGTATCTAACATTAAAAAAATATTCCATTAGTTTGGAACTAAATGTTGGAAGACTTGCATTCTTGTTCTATTTCTTCTATTAAATAATTCTCATTCCTTATACAAACACTCTACACCTTAGTCCCTCAACTACTAAATAGGAATAAGAAACACGTCCTGAATCAACAAGATGGCTCAATGAGTGAGGGCTGCCAAGCTGGACTACTTGAGTTTGATCCTCAGAACCCACACGGGAAAGGAGAGGACCAACTTCCACAAGTTATTCTCTGGCCTCCACACATATTCCATGGCATGTGCACACCTTCACACATATGCATGTGCAATAAATAAATATAAAAACATAAACATGTCCTGCCTCCCTTGCATAGAATTTCTGAGTGACATTAATGTGAACTTTGAAAACATTATAGTGTTGAAAATTGAAAGCAACCTGGTATGTTGAAAATGAATCAGAAATATGCATTTTAATTTTAATTATGCAGAGCTTTGGCTTTACATGTAGATTTGCCTTCTCTGGGATTCCTTTTACCTCCTGTACTGATTTGAGAAGAGGATCTATGCTTCTCCTCATTTCAAAAGACTACCCAGTTCTGATATTATTCTAGACTTCTTGGCACTATGACCTGTAAAATAATAAACACACAGATAATAAAACAATAGAAACCCAGGTATAAAGTCTATACAAAAAGGGAAGATTTGGAATATTAAAATCTAGATAATTAAAGAATGGATTTAACTGTTGTAAAAGTTACAAAGGTCATAGCTACCAGCCCTAGGAAGTCACTACGGGAAGCAGCTGCTGCATGCAATGGGTAGAGTAGTCTTTCAGATAAACTGGTTATGTTTATCAGATAAACTAAGGGAAGCTTTAGTTTTCAGGTCACTGTCTTCTACACACTTATAATTATTCAAAAAGACAAGTAAATCTGGTAAATACAAACAAACATATAGTTGTGGAGGTACACTTCCTCAGGACAGATACTGTTCAAGGTTATAGTGATCTATCAGCAAGCAAAGCAGGATCAAGGGAATAGTGAAACGGATCTACCTGATTATCATTGCCTACCTGCCCTCTGCCACATACATCAAAATATTATTGTCTCTGGCTCTCACAGTTGTTTGTTCACGGGGTAAAGAACATTTTGATTCTGGCCAAGGTATGGAGTCTGGGCATCAACAATTAATATGATAGCAACATTTGTATTCCTACACCTCAATAATAAAATGTGTGCTTGATACTCTTCCTAAGTACATGTTGTGTGGTGTTATGGGCTGAATTATGACCCCTTTAAACTCATATGTCTAAGTATTAATCTCCTAGAACCTCAGATTGTGACTATATGTGGGGATGGGTCATGCAAGAAGACATGTAAAATGAGGTCATATGGATTAACCGCCATCCAGTGTGTCTGGTGTCCTTAGAAGAGGAGGGGACACACTGGGGAAGGGCACACATAAAGGAAAGACCTCATGAGAACCTGGGGAGAAAGTGGAATCTACAAGCCAAGGAGATATCAGGCTTGGGAAGAAACTGGTGTGCCTACTTTGACCTTGAGTTTCCAATCTCTAAACAGAGGGGAAAAACTGCTTCTGCCCTTGAACCACCTGGTATGCACAGCAAAGAATACCAAGGAGCAGTGCATGCTTTCAAAATCTTTCATGTAGACTTCAGACTCAAAGGCCCCAGCATACCTTTCCCTTCGCCCAGTCCTTACCGCTGACAATAGGATGAACTCCTAGAAAATGCATGCCCATCCGTTTTTACCTTCCAGGGGCTGACCCTGTATGTCTGCACAGCACATCAGTGACTGAGAGAGAGAGAGAGAGAGAGAGAGAGAGAGAGAGAGAGAGAGAGAGAGAGAGAGAGAGAGAGAGAGAGCTGGACAACACATTAATTCTTCTTACTAGCTTCCTGTTGAAAGGCACGCCACTGGGAGAACACAAAGAACAAATCTCACACATCATGGTAAGTGTGCCTCAGTCAGTAGAATGTAAACATTCTCCTGGATCTAATTAAATATAAATCCCAAGTATAGAAATTCCTTTCCCAAACTGACTATGGGAGTTTTATGCATTTGTCTAGGTGGACCCAGGCTAGCCTACAGTACCAGAATGTGACTTGTGATGTGACTTGTGATATAGGGTAGGAGAAGTGGCTTTGGAAAGGCCAGCCTCTTCTACATATTATCTGTGTCTGGCTGTAGTTGGCTGGCAGCACAGTACATCTGCAGTGATTTAGATGGAAAACCCAGCAACCCTGTCTTGTTAATCCCTCTCCTACCACCAGCACTCACCTTGGGAGCTTGGTGAGGGGAACCCAACCACTGTATTGACCCTGTGATGGGCTTTATTAAGTTTATTCTACATGAAAAGGAAGAGGTTTTTCTTTGCAAATAGCTGCACTAGGAAGAAGTAAGTGACTTTAAGATATATTTTGCAGGCTGGCCATGGCAGACCAAAGTTTATTGTGAATGAAGCATGGGAAGGCAACATTTGAACAAATCAAGAGGAGTCAATTGGAGGAGTCATAGGCGGCAATATTGGATTTCACAGATCCACTGTGTTTGCTTAAATTATCTACCCTGTAAAAAACAATAACGGTAAAATGTACATAGTGCTAATCCAGAGGGAGGCACTAGATGATTCACATAACTAGAAATTAATCTTCTCAGGGAGTCTTCTGAGATTATTGACTCAGGCAGAACTCTAAAATATCCCTAAAATTGTTGCCCTTTCTGCTGTCTGAGTTTATGAAGCTTATAGATACAAAGACCATCTCTGTGTTACTGTTTTTCTATAAGACAAAAAAGGGAGGAGATATCTACACAAGATCCATAAATAATTAGCTCTGAGTTCATCAATACCTCCTGTGTGGGCCTGATCTAAACAAGCAAACCATTAAAGGGACTGGGACTCTCATGGAAGAAGAGATTTGGAATATACTTAGGACTCTCTCGCTGCCTTGATAAGGCAAGCTGGTGTGCTGTAATGAACATCTGCCAGCGACAGCTGTTAGCACCATTTAAGAGTTCAAATGAAACCTTCATTGGCAACTGACAGGAAAACAAAACCCACAGTTACTCAGGTGCAAGGGAATGAACCAGGCGCCCAGAGGTAGATCTGTGTGCCCAGCCTCATGACGAGAAGACACCTCCTGCTCAGCACCTTGTGTTTTGCTTGTGAAGACTCGGCGCTTCAGCTATTGAGAAGGTAATTATGCTCGCTTGTTCTTCGTATCTTGGTAAGAAAGTTTTGCCTTCTCTCCCTCTGTTGATGGGGGTATAAAAAGACAGTTAATAAGCGTTGGCGATTTTGTATTCACCGGATGCCCTCCTGACACGATCTCTTGTCTCCTGCCTATTCCTTTCCCCAATCCATACTCCCCCCTCTCAGGTACGAACGCAGGCAATGACAGATGTCCCTCAACACGTGGCAACGATAAAAAGTTCACTTGCCTTTGGTTATAAAGTTAGCACCTGATAGACACTGGATTTGAACCTGGTTTCTTGGGTCTAATTCTGCTATTTAACCCTTGTATTACTCTAAGCTCCAGCCATTTGCCTTCTCTGTGTTTTCCCTCCTTGAAAGCAAGGCCACTTCTATTTTGGAAGCTCTTAACTCTAAATCTTTGGCTGCTCAATAGTTCCATATGCCATAGTAATTCATTTTTTCATAGATGAGGGGGAAAACCCTGCACTATTTGAATTATAGCCCTGTGGTTAAGGGAAAAGCCATTTACTGAGGAAGCAACTTGTTATGGTCTTAGGTACTCTGCCAACTGCCATGAAAAGGGGTGGGCTTTTAAAAGTCATTTATACATTAAGAAAGATTTAAAGAGATACTAAAACAACAGCTAGCTGGCATTGCCAGCATCTGCAGGTCTTTTATCCACAAGTATGTGAGACTAAAAAATGAGTCATTCTTTTGATGAATTAATAGAGTATGTCCTGCAACAGCCCTGAACAATGACCTTCCTCAACAGGAGGACTAATAGCATTCATGTTTCCTGTTCCATTCACCCATTGTAGTACAGTGCTGAAGTACAAGGCTGGTAAAGCTGCTGGATTGCAGATTCTTGTAACCTGAATAGAGGGTGCTGATTGCAGATTCTTGTAACCTGAATACAGGGTGCTGGTTAACATCTTAACATGTTTACATAGTTGAGAATATGAAGGCCATAGGAAGAAATTACGTCCGTATGTCAGAGCGAAGAGATTTGACATAATACAGCTCAAATGTGATGCCACTACTCTGATCTCAAAAGATCATTATATGAAGGGGATATACAGGCAAGGTGTGATATTTCAATGACTATTGATATGTCTGTTTGGGCATTTTTTTCTATCTTAAATATTAATAATGGTATGAATCTGTGGAAATGAACTCTTTCTATTTATTCAAGGAAGTTACTACCAACAGTGATATTAATTACCATTTTAATGTATTCTAAGCTCGTGAGCATAATGTAATTGTTTAATTAAAATACAAATATGTTATCAACACATGAAAAAAAAAAAATAGAGTATGTCCTGAGCAGCCTCAAGTCCGAATAAAAATGTATTCAAAAATCATACTTCATTTAAAAAGATTCACTGAGACCCTGCAAAGATATGAAGCATCCATCTAAAGACAAGAAGGGAGGTTCTATTGCCTAGAAAGTTTCTTTTGGAAAGGAAAAAATAATACTAGAGAGTTTAACTTGATGGATTTTCTTAAACTTTCTAAAAACTCAAACAGAACCTTCACTAACTTATGTAAAAGATATCTGAACCCCAAGTCATCATAATGGTTCGGCTCAGGTGGTTCCCATTTTCTTCTCAGAAACACTGGCACGTTATACCAAGCACCCACTGTGGCTAGTTTGGTCTCATTCATGTAAAGGACATTTGGAATAAGCTTATTAATTTTTCCCAATAATACAGCTGAAATGCATTTGGTCCTGTCAATTCGTTTTTCCTATGGCCTTGAACACTGTAGCATCACATGTCCTTGTTACTTCACTTCTGTCCCTCACATGTCCCCTGCAGCATGCTCCTCAGAACCCCTCTCCCATTAACCTTCACGTATCCCAGTCTCTGCTTCATCTCGGCTCATTGTATCCTTACTCTTGCCTTGGCAACTTGTCAAAATACGGAAACACTTCGCTTTCCAAAGTTGCTGGAACACAATGAGCCATTAAATTGAAAAGTGGTCCTGATAAGAGTGACAGGAGAGTTTCAGTATCACCATACAGTGTATATCAAGTTATTTTTATTGCAAGTGATGAGTTTGTGCCAGATTGTTTAACACATTTTAATCTTATGATACAGAGCCCTTGTGGAGAGACTTTTAGCAGGGCCAGCAGGCTCGAAAATAGATTGGTTTCAAGGCATATGGTTTTTAAGAAGATAAAAGCATTTTACAAAGGTGACTGTTGGATTAATAAATTTGCAAAGACAATTTTAAATGATGTTAAGACTTGGATGATGTTGTTTAAAGCCATTGGTATAGAATGGGGTTGGCATCTTATACTGTACCTGGTACCATGGTATGCTCTCTTTAGGGTAGCTTCATCTATTCAGAATTGTTATTGAGTTTAGGGAGAAAATGTGGGACTATCACCAGCACAATGCCTGGCAACTTGGACTTATTCAAATGATAGTAAGCACAAGTCTAAAACCCAAATGAAAGATTATTGTGAGTGCCTGCAGAATAACTAAAAGCAGGTATAAAAGATAAAATACTTATTAGTGGATAAGCATGGATCTTCTATACTGTGAATATATTACTTTTTATTCAGTTTAATCACTTAAGACAGACCCTGCCATCATTACTTAGGGCCTTGTGGCAGCCAGATTTTCTATAATAGACTATTACAAAAAGATGTTGTTGAATTAAAGGACCTAGTAACAAGAAAAAACTGGGCTATATCAAATTGAATAAACTTCAATCAAAATATATGACAGCAGTCTTTTCACAAAGGTCTGCTCTGATTCAGGAGTTCAGTTCAAGTGATGTGTAGCTTTGTAGGAATTATCGCAGACATCATCAGCAAAGCATGAGCCCAGGGGAAAGTTCTTCTCCCTTTCAGGACCCAACCTGTAGAATCTGGCCAGCATCCCTCTGGATGTTATGATGACTCTGAGAAGCAAAACCTGGGATCCTCCTACCTCACTTCTTTGGCCATGGGAGTCTCTGGTAGGGGTCTGGAAAGTCATAATGGGTAATGATCAAAGTATTGATTTTACAAAACTCTATTTTGCCACCATTCTGGCAGTACTTATGTTCACTCCCCAGGCCATAGCTATTGTCACAATAGCATCTCTCTCTGGGCTCTGGAGTCATTTTTCTCCCTTCCTGTGTCTGCCACTTACCTTTCAATCAACTGCCTTTGAGCAGACAGACCCTTTACACATGTCTTCTATCCCTCTCCAGATTCTTGAACGAGTAAGATAATCTGTTATTTTCATCTGGTGAACAGGGTTGTCAACCCTTACGGATTGCTAGGATCACTAGGGAGACATTTGAATTTGTAATATCACAAAAAGTGTAAGCTATGAATAATAGTAGAATCATCACACATCTTTCACATCACACATCTTTCAAACCTTAAACAGCTTTCCTCAGATACTTCATAGGTTTTTCAGACCCAGTTTTCATGATAAACCAATACAAGCTTAGAGGACACTATCTTGAGTCAAAGGGTAGAAAGTGAGTCCTTTAGAATTACATTCCAAAGTTAAACGCAAGCCACTTTTAGCTCTGGCTCTGGTCCCCATATCAGCAGTATGTAACTCAGAAGATGATCTTAACATCCCTTTGTTCCCACACTGAAGTTTCAGTCCTAATAGTGCATCCCGTATATGACTTATGTCTCTGTGAGATCGTAAAGTTTCTTTATGATGTCACTGAGAAGAAGTCTCATATCTTATATATTTTCTTACTTTTTATGACTCATACTGTAGTTGATAGAGTAGATGCTTGGGAAATGAATGACTGGGTGTTCATGGTGCATCTGTCGATACTGAGGTTTCTAAAGTTGATAAGGGGTGGTCACTGGTTTAATGCCAAGAGTCCATCTCTGATTAGTATGAACTCTCTGGGCGTGTATGGTATTTGTTCAGTTAGTGAAGATTTTGTAGGCATTTGTTGCATTTTATGTGTATGTTTTATTGTGTGAGTTGCTACATTTGGGACTGATAATTCAAGGGAACAAATGCTACATTCTTATTCTTCTATTACTAAACTGGAATTCAGTAAAAAGATTTTCCAATATAAATATCAATGACATCAATAAGAATGCTCTATCAGCCATTCTTCTCAAAGGTAACTAAAGAAAACCATGCTATTCCTGAAAAGCAGATAAACCCCAAACCAAATGCCCATGGTAAATATTTACACTTTCTTGATTATGGGCATGGGAGTGGCAGGTGGTAATTTGTCCCCTGAACTAGTTCTCAAAAGTACACATGGACAATGGTACCAGAGGGCTTTGGCTCACTGATCCTTCCTTTCTTTGTTTTCTTCCTTCTGAGTAGGCACAATGGATTCTAGAGAACCCTCGTTATATTTTGTTCCCACATTGTCATACTTTTGAAACTGAAAAAACACAGAAAACAATAACGTTGGTATTCATGAACTACATTTAAGTCTCCTCGGTAACCTAGACAAATTCTACAGATTAAGAGGCTATTTGAAAGCAAAGTGAATAGCCTACTTTAAAAAATCTATTAATTTCTTCAGTTTACTAAGAAAAGTAAAGAAATGAATAGAAGATCATGAGCTTTATATGGGTTATCTGTGGTAAAAAGAGAGACCATAGGGCTGATAGCAAGCAGCTGGCTGAGAATAATGCAAGCACACAATTACTGGGAAAATTCAAAAGGAAAGAGAGCTTATTCAATTTCCAATTTTTATCAAAGACAGCAATGCTGGGTGATGCTTGGAAAACAGACAGATAACAATGGAAGATCCATTGAGCGTGGCTCATTCCTCAGAGAAGACGAGTCTCAAACTGACCTTAATGGACTACATTCATTTGTTGGAGGGAGAACAATGGGGCTGCTGAAATGATACATATCCAGCTAGGGCAGGATTTGTACACTGATGAAAACAAACTTGTTTGGCCCATTAAGTCAGTTATGCAGAACAGAGTCCATGATTCTTTGGGAGGCACCAATAGCTATCATTTTTAAAAGAGAAAGGGGTAAATAAATTCATGAAGGAGTCCTGATCATGTACCTATTTAAGAAACTGAGCCCAGAATAATGCGTGAGAAACTTGACACATCTGGAATATAATTGACTAACCTTAAGAAGTAGTGAACCAGGGACTGCCCATGTAGACAAAAGATTCCAAAACCAAATGTGGGTTCTGATTTCTGCTTCTAGAATAATGGCAGAATTATATCCAAAGACAGAGATCCTAAAGTCACTCCAGAAAATGCTGGCTATTAGTGAGTGACATATATAGCAAATACCATTAACACACAAGGTTGTAGTTGAAGCAATAGATGCAGAATGGGGAGAGAATGGTACAGAACTAAAAGGCAGGAGATCTGTTAGAGATCTGGAGTAATGAAAGGAAGTGACTGTGCTGTACTCAGTGGGGATGGGAAATGTAGAAAGCCTACCACTCTGGCAAGGGAGGAAGGATGAAATATTATTGATAGAGTCCCTACTTGGTCACATCCCAAATGGCCACTGAAATATCCTGGGGATGTATTGTGACACAGACCAGAGTGAGATAGTAAGAAACCACAGTGGTCCTAGAGTCTGTCACTTACGAGTATGATGCCATTATAGATTCAAGCAGCCCTTAATTTATCATCACTAGATAGCTTATTGTATTGACTCTCTTTTTTTTGTTTTGGACACATAATCTATGTAGCTAAACAGGCCTTGAACTCCTGGTCTTCTGCCTCCATCTCCCATGTGCTGGGATTACAGGCATGTGTCACCAGCTTTGGCTCCTTTTACTTTTTTATAAATGTCCTAAGTTGCAAGTAAAAGGACTGTTAAATTTCTGAGCCTTCATCAAGAAAAAGGAGATGAATATATTTGATGGGTAGGAAGAGCCAGTTTTGCTCTGTAACCTGTGTTGCCTCTGAATTTTAAACCAAATGACAGGAAAAAACTTTCTGAACAGAAGACAGATAACACAAGCACTAAGAAAAACAACTGAAAATGGGATCTCTTTTTGTACAGCCACTTTGGAAATCAGTATGGAGATTCTTCAGAAAAATGGGAATCAGTCTATCACAAGATCCAGCAATTCCACTCTTAGGCATATACCCAAAAGAAACACATTCATACAATAAGGACATCTATCCAGCTATGCTCATAGCAGTATTATTCATGACAGCAAGAACCTGGAAGCAACCTAGATGCCCCTCAACTGAAGAGTGGATAGAGAAAATGTGGTACATTTGCACAATGGAGTACTACTCAGCGGAAAAAAAAACAATGGAATCTTGAAATTTGCAGACAAATGGATGGCACTAGAAGAAACCATACTGAGTGAGGTAACCCAGTCACAAAAAGACAAACATAGTATGTATTCATTCATATATGGATTTTAGACATGAATCAGGGGAGTGCCAGCCTACAATCCCACAGCTAGAGAGTCTGGGAAATGGGGAGGACCCTAAGAGAGATATACATGGTACCCCAGAGAAGGGGAATGGGACAGGATCTCCTGAGGGGATTAGAAACATGGGGAAAGGGGGGAAGGAGGAAGGGGAGAGGAGAGGGAGCTGGGAGAAAGAGAGAGGGAAAAGAGGAGAGGAGAGCAGGACATGGGGAGCAGGAAGGTTGAGTCAGGGGAAGAATAGAGGAGAGCAGGATGAGAGATACCATAATAGAGGGAGACATTATAGTTTTGAGGAGAGATCTGGCACTAGTGAGATTTTCAGAGATCTACAAGGATGACACCAACTGGAAATCCAATAGTGGAGAGGCTACCTTAAGTGCCCTTGCCCAATAATGAGATTGATGGCCACCTTATATGCCATTCTAGAGTCTTCATCCAGTGACTCATGGAAGCAGAGGCAGACATCCACAGCTAAACACTGAGCTGAACTCAAGGAACCCAGTGACAGAGAGGGAGGGCTGATGAGCAAATAGGTCAGCAGAAACAGCTGACCTGAACAAAGAGGAGCTCTTGAACCCCAGACTGATGACTGAGAGGCCAGCATGGGACTGATCCAGACCCCCTGAATGTGGGTGTCAATGAGGAGGCTAGGCAATCTCTGCGGCCTTGGGCAGTAGATCAGTATTTACCGCTGGCATACAAATGAACTTTCAAAGCCTATTCCACATGGAGGTATGCTCTCTCAGTCTGGACACATGGGGGAAGGCCTAAGCCCTGCCCTGGATGATATGACAGACTTTGGAGATTCCCCCATGGAGGGCCTCACCCTCCCTGGGGAGAGAAGGGGGGGATGGGTTGGGGGCGGGGAGGGCTGGTGGGGGACTGAGAAGGAGGGGAGGGAGCTGGAATTGACATGTGAAGAAACATGGTTTCTAATTTAAATTTAAAAATAAATGAAAGTAAAAAAATAGGGTATAGATCTAAACAGAATTCTTAAAAGAGGAAACTAAAATAGTTGAGAAGATGCAAGTGCCTGTAGAGATGGAGGACACCATGGAATAAAGGTCTTTAGACACAATGGGGCTGGCACACAATGAGGCAGCATACAAAGGGCCTTCGTGGATCTGCAACAGATGGGGTCCTAGAGATGAAAGGAGAAGTGCACACACACCCATACCTAACCCAGAAGCTCTCTCCAATTGAAAACCACTTGCAAATAAAAAAAATAGTTTTCTCCAAGGGAATGTCACTGGAGAAACAAGCCATACTTAAGAGTGGATCCCATGCCCAAACACAAAGGAAACTCAACAGGGTCTTTGGTTGTTTGTCTCATAATATTAAGCCAGAACATTACAGATCCTTTTCATGTATATTATGGCTTTTGGTATTTTTATGAGATTATTCTATGTGAGAATGTGTGTGTCTTCATGTCTATATGAGTTTCTTGTGCTTTTTTTCTGGCTCTTTGTCCTGTTTGGCTGTTTTGTCCTATTTCAATTTGATTTTGCTTTATCTTATTTTATTATTATTCCTTAGATGCCAGTTTGTTTTATAAGAGAAAGGGTATGGATCCACATGGGAGACGAGATTAGAGGGAACTGAGAGGAGTAGACAGAGGGAAAACAATAATCGGAATATTTTATATGAAAAAAATCTATTTTCAATATAAGAGAAAAAAGATCATGCCAGATAAAAAAGGATATTAAACCAAATGGCACATAGTCGATATAATTCTCACAGAGAATTCACTCTATCTGCCCAAGTGTGGCTTATTATGATGAGAATTATTCATGATAAAATTACTGTTTAGAAATTCACTAATAAAGAAATGTCAAACACTATAAATTTAAGACAATACGAGCTATCAAGTGTTCTGTCTTTAAATATGTCATATTTATTGCTATAAGTTCTACAACCAGTTTTTCATTGCTTTATAAACCACAGTGTAAGACTGTATTCCTTCTGAACATATGTAACCTCTGTTACTCTGTGATCTCATTCAGAGCTAATAAAGCTTGGATAAGTTGGTTAGAATAAATGGAGACATTCCACTGATGATACTCTGTGTGTGTGTGTGTGTGTGTGTGAGAGAGAGAGAGAGAGAGACAGAGAGAGAAGGGGGGAGACCCCCTAATTACCAGCATGTCAACATATATATAAGGGTACAATAAGTGGCGGCACACACATGTTGGACTTAAGGACTACTCACCTCATTGGGAAGGAAATCATGCCTAGTATTGGAGGCCTAACCAGCTTCCCAGGGATAATGAGGTCATGGGCCTTAGAGAAGAATCTACTAGTGCCACTTTGCTAGACCAGTACAATCCCTTACTACTTTTTAACTCTTATACCACAGATGAGTGTAGCTACCAGCCCTCGTTAGGGAAGCTCCTACACAGCTAATGTAAAACATCACAGAAAACACAACTGGGAACAATGCAGAGATCAAGTACAGAGAATTGATAACTTCTGGGAGAAAGAATTAGCCTCTCTCTCAGGGATGATGAGCACCCTTCTTGGTTGCTCAAGGGAGTGTGGCCAACCTTGGAATTTCACCAACAAAAACGTACTCAGCAGGTTGTATTTATATATAGTCATGCTTGCACACACACACACATGTA